CCCCCCGAACATTCTAATCTCTCACCGTTGATGTCTGGACTTAGATCCCCACAGAGGCCATTTCAAAAGGTTTTGGGGGGAATTCAGCTGTCCCTGAAGGGATTTTTTTAGTTTTTGGATTTTTCTACAAACCCAGGAAGTCTACTGACTATGTAGGAAAAGCTGTTAGGGGAGAGTGAGCCCCCTGTTGGTGGAAATAAGTATCCGCACAGGGAAAAAAAACCCTCTTGAAAATAGAATAAGGATGTTTGTCTTTTGTAGCAGAAAGATTTGTGGCATCTTAAAGACTAATTACAAGCCTTATATTGTATAGCACTTTTATTTTTTTTAGCTACCTAAAATTAAACATTATGATGGCATATATTCTGGAGAATTAGATGCATCTACCTCATACTACGTGCTAGTATACAGCATCACTTCTACTGGCCATTATTTTCAACAACTGTACTTTAAACTGAATATTCCCTGATGTTTCCACACTGATCGGGATATAGTCTTGGATTTTAACAGAATATGAGCTAAACAACCATTTTCAGTCCAGAACATTTAAAAACTATTTTAATATGTGTCTGTTTTTATGTTTTAACTATCCATAAGCCATCAGGTACCACTGGTGGAGAATGTGGAACAGAAATTAATAAAACTAAATAAAGAAGACTGACAAAATTTGAGTCCAGTGGCACCTTTAAGAACAGCAAAGTTTTATTCAAAGGGTAAGCTTTCATGTGCAAAGCACACTTCTTGAGACCAAATTAAGCTTTTGCACACCACCCTAACAAATCAGTGAATACTGAAAAGGCCACAATAGTGTCAGAAACAGGTGAGTTTATTCTGTGTTCCACATTTGCTGTATTAGCAAGAAACCCAAACCAAGCAAAGCCTACCATAGAAAATACTGAAATTTCCAGTGTTCTCTGTTCCTGTTGAGGAATAATGTGTGAAAGGGAGCAAAAAATGAGTCAAACAAATAAGATCCCATTTTTAGAGCAACAGAGAAGTTTCCCAGAAAACCCACATCACTGCTTAACAATAACACACTACTAGCAATGAAAAATAGGTTGGATCCAGAGTATCATGAGTGGAGCTCTGCTTGTAAACAAACCTCTCACTGCAGCCCATTTTATTTCCCCAAATGCTGCTCCTGGGGTTGGGGCACTCTTCAGAGAAAAATGAAGCATGACATGGGGGTTGGCAGTGGTAGGGGGAAATTGGCAAAAGTCATTCAACTGACCTTGCACAAGCAAAAATGCATTTCTACTCATAGAAGGAACATTTGGACCCAACCCAAAATATTCAGAGGAACAGAGATGAAGTATACTTCACCTCAGACCACAAAGGCATGTAACAAAGAGTTAAAACTTTATTCAACATTATAGAATATACAAAAAATCATAATATGTAAGATTCAAGTATATTACTTCAAGAATGCATTGCACACACACTATAAATCTCTTAAATCATACAGAAATCATATCACCCTGATCGTTGTAAGTATTGTACAATTTTGGTAGTGGAAAGCACCATCAAGATACAGATGGCTTATGGCAACCCCATAGGGTTTTCCAGGCAAGAGATGTTCAGAGGTGGTGTGCCACTGTCTGCCTCCATGTCACAACCCTGGTATGCCTTGGAGGTCTCCCATCCAAATAGTGGCCAGGGCTGACCCTGCTTAGCTTCTGAGATCTAATGAGATCAGGCTAGCTTGGCTATCCAGGTCAGGATATTTTAATTTTAAGCATTTCTAAACTCACTTCTGTTAATGTAATGGCAGTCTGATTTAGGAAAAATATACCAGCAACATCCAGGCTGCAGGCAGTCCAATAAAATACCCTTATTTCAGGAGGCCTAGATTGGAGGAACACCACACAGGATTGTACTGTTCAGTACCGATGTAACATTAGAGATTGTATGTAAACCACAGAACACAATGCTTTAAATGCTTGCCCTGCTCCATCCCTCCTAAGAGGGGGTCTCTTCATTTTAGTTTGTTAACACATTTGGTTGTTTACATTGGTCCCACACTCCCTATCAGAATTTTAAATATAATCATATATAGTAACTTTTTAAACAAGATCCATCAGTGATTCTTTAACTCATAATCCACTACCCCAAATACATACCAAAGTCCACCAATTAAATAGAATATATGCTACCTTTTATGACAACCATAGCAATCGGGCTCACAAAAACCCCTGACCCACAGACAAGTAAAATCAAAAGATGAGAGATACAACTATATACCTTTTCCTCAAAATACTACCATCCAGATGAAATTAATGCCCACCTCAAAAGAACAGCCTTATGTTTCTTATAGAAGGCAGAGCACAGGGGATCTCTGGGACTCCCTGGGAAAGGTGTCCAATAACGCTGGAGCTGCCACCAAAAAAGCAGCGGAATTCAAAGAGAGGGTTCAATCAAGAGATGGCCTGGGAAAATCTGAGATGGCGTGCAGGCGTGTAACGAGGAAAAGTTAGAACATACTCCAGACACGGCAACTTCATTTGCACAGGTAAACTTATGTAATGCGCATATGATTCAGAAATGTCAGCCATACATTCAAGGAAACTCTTGTGCCCAACAGCCATCAGCCATCTTCTTAATATTATGCTTGATTCCTGTTTACTGAGTGCCAATTTAAGCATATGCGGGGGGGGGGATACGGGGTCCGCTATTTAATCATCAGGGTGAAACTGAAACAATTCCACTTTGCTTGCTGTCAGAACCCACTGCATATTGGGGAAAGGGGCTGACTTGGGTTAACCCTAAATTTCCAAATGTAGCCAGAATTTCTGGGGAAAAAAAAACCCTGTCAGACTCACAGATCACCACCTGAGGTTGCTCTATGGCCTCCTTTAATAATCACTGGAACACAGAACACTAGCTTTTTTCCTGGACTAAGTCCAAGCATATTTTTGAAGAGAACCTGAAGGTCATTCTTTACACACTCTAAAGTGTAAGTTCAAATGCCAAGCTCTGCTATTGCTCCGTTGCTTGGCCTTGTGAAAAATAAGTTCCACAAAAATTGATTTCTGGGGAAAAAAGTCAAGCCTGATTAGGCTATGTATCTTTACTTACATCTTAACCTACAGTTGTTACTCCAAGAAAATCTAATTGCTTTTATAACAGCAAAGAAATAGACCATCGTTTCAACTGCATTTTTTTAAGGGTACCATCTCAACAAGAACAGCATTAAGAAAGATCTGTGCAACTTACCAGCTGAAATTCTCTGCGCCTATCGTAGGAATGTTGGATACCACTATCTGCCCACAAGGCTTTTATTGCTAGAAGGTACTGTAAAAAAACTGTGGTCTCCACCATTCCTTGCGCCACCAATGCTGAGCGGGTATCAAAGGCCATCAGCTTGTCACCATTCTTTTGGTTAGCAGGATCTCCCCAGGGAATATGAAGTTTCTCTCGAGCATCCACAAGGACTCTTATTCCTAAAACAAAATTGAAAGTTCATTAGTTTTCTAATCATGTCAGAACTTGACATTAGATCCAATGAAGTTTTCTCTCGGTGCAAACAACACTCAGATATATGCAGAAATTGCCCAAATCAAGAAACAACTGTGGGTAATAAGCAATACATGGGAAAAAATTGCTAACAGTAGACCCATTTAGCACACAAAGATGCCAGTATCTTCCCACATCAAGATAAGGGTGAGAACATGCATTTTCTTTACTCATGTGCAAGGGCAATGCAAATGGCACAGCCAGATTACAGTCGCATGGCATAAGGTCACACTGAACTGGAAATGAAAAGGCCTTGGGGGAAAAACTCTATAAAAATGGGTGAAAAAATTGCCTCCCCTCAGAATTTCCAACAGGGTTGCCACTAAAATTTTATTTTCCATTTCCCTGACTGACTTTTGTTGATTTTCCTGAACACGGTTCAAAAATGCCCCCAAGTTTTAAAATGCATAGGTTATATTACACTAAATAAAGGCTTGATCAAATGATTTAAAACTACACAAGTACTGAAATGCAAATATTTGTTAAGATAAGAGCTTCAATATGAACTTATTTAAACACTGATTGTTTAAACACGGAAGGAACTGAACACATCTGTTTTGAAAATGCACCAAAAATTACACGGAAGGAACCTCAATATATAATCTCTAACCATTAACAAATGACAGACCATTTTTGTTCTTGTTTAAAAATACACTAAAAATTATATAAAATACATTTCAATGAATGCCCTTTCTTATATGCCCAGGGATCCTGGAGATTTTTTTTGACATCGTCTGGGCGTGGAACAGGGATCACTGGGGGTATTTGTGAATTTCCTGCATTGTGTAGGGGGGTTGGAATAGATGTCCCTTCCAACTCTATGATTCTACGAATATTCTTAAAAATGGTTGAGAAATTGCAATTAAAAATAAAGTTAGATATCCCTGCCCTGGATAGCCCAGGCAAGCCCGATCTCGTCACTTCTCAGAAACTAAGCAGAGCTGACCCTGGCAAGTACTTGGAAGGGCAACTTCCAAGGAATACCAGGGCCGGAATGCAGAGGCAAGTTACCAAGCCACCTCTCTGAAACATCCTAGCCCTCTTAGGGGTCACCAGAAGTCACCATGACTTCCAGGCTCGCAAGCACACACACACACAAAATAGTAACCCCCCTAAATAAATAAAGTTAGAGTACAAATACTCTTTTTAAAAAGATTAAACAACAGTATACAGCTATCACTTCCACAGTTTTTTCTTTTTGTTTTATAGCTCTTTTAGTTTCTAATCAATCATTTCTTCTTCCAGTTTGACTTGTTTTCTCAGTCCTTTTTTAGCATTTTCAAGATGTTTAATTTCTCCCTCAAATTTCTTGTTTCCTTAGAGTTTCTTCTTGCTGCTTATGCCGTTTAACCTCTAAGTACTCTGTGTATCATGTATGAGCATGCCTGACTGAGTGCAACATACTCCTATAAATTACCACAGATTCAAGTCCTCCAGAACTCAGGACAGCATCATAAACCTGGCATTGACAGACAACAGTTTCTTCATGCAAATTCTCTATTAACATTGACTTACTAACTGAAAATCTACTTTCAACTGAAGCATTACCATGAGACAGGATACGACACCTCTTGACAACATTCCATAAGTGTGAGAAATTCTTGTTGCCCTTCAAAATACCACTTTAAAATGTATCCAATCCAACTTCATCATCTTGTTCTACCACCTATGCTTGAAATCAAGCCCTGAATTTATTGGGGGCAGCTGTGGTTAAAGCAATGTACTGTTGCTTTGATTTTTCAGCTGCTGTGTCATTGATCTGATTTGTCAAAAACAAGGATATAGAACATTCAAGACACGTAACATTCTCCAACATGAAGACTACATGTTCAAAGGTCAATCAATTAATTTTCTTCTATTTTTCGGTCACAATTGTTTTTCATTTCTTTGTTCATTTTTTTCAGGAAAAGGTGATTTACATTTGGCCCATCCATAGGCACCTATAGTAATTCTGCAAATGGTAAAGAAGACATATCTTGAAACTTCTGAAGGTCTTCAGCAGTAGCATTTTGAAGAAAAACACTGGTGATGTACTGTGTAGAAACTTTTTGGCAGCATTCATTCCAAAAACAAAGCACTAAATACATCTGACCCCTTTGAAGCACCTTATTCAAAGCTTCATCAAAACAGGTAACAAATGTTTTATTTGTTTCAGAGGAAGGTCAGAGAAGAATGGCACTAAACTAAAAACCAAAGCATACATTGCTTTTGTTTTCCAAGATGAAACTGTCAGGCTATTTGGCTACCTGAGAACATTCACTTGAATAACTCACTGATGTTGTTACAAGAGTTAAATTATGCCTTCTTCACTAGCTGCAAGGTTCACAGGCACTCTACTGTCTTAACATCATCTCTGATTCCAAAGGCAGCCATACTAGTTTGTGTAGCAGGTAGTTCATTGCATATTTCATCATCCTGAACATGTTTTTCAGCGTTTTCAGAGTTTTTCTCTTCCTCTCCTGTGCTTTCATTGCCTGAACCAAAACACACCACAATGGATTGCTGACTTGATTTTGTTTTCAGGTTCTTCTGATGTGATGGTCTTTGTGCATGAGAGTACACAGTTCTAATTTCCATATTACTTAGTTCAAAAGTTCTGTAGCATACTTTATAATATTTCCTGCCCGTGTGACCGGGGCCTTTCTTCTCTTTTTCGGTCACAACTGTTTTTCATTTCTTTGTTCATTTTTTTTCAGGAAAAGGTGATTTACATTTGGTTTATCCATAGACACCTATAGTAATTCTGCAAATGGTAAAGAAGACATGTCTTGAAACTTCTGAAGGTCTTCAGCAGTAGCATTTTGAAGAAAAACACTGGTGATGTACTGTGTAGAAACTTTTTGGCAGCATTCATTCCAAAAACAAAGCACTAAATACATCTGACCCCTTTGAAGCACCTTATTCAAAGCTTCATCAAAACAGGTAACAAATGTTTTATTTGTTTCAGAGGAAGGTCAGAGAAGAATGGCACTAAACTAAAAACCAAAGCATACATTGCTTTTGTTTTCCAAGATGAAACTGTCAGGCTATTTGGCTACCTGAGAACATTCACTTGAATAACTCACTGATGTTGTTACAAGAGTTAAATGATGCCTTCTTCACTAGCTGCAAGGTTCACAGGCACTCTACTGTCTTAACATCATCTCTGATTCCAAAGGCAGCCATACTAGTTTGTGTAGCAGGTAGTTCATTGCATATTTCATCATCCTGAACATGTTTTTCAGCGTTTTCAGAGTTTTTCTCTTCCTCTCCTGTGCTTTCATTGCCTGAACCTGTACTTGGTTTTGAACCAAAACACACCACAATGGATTGCTGACTTGATTTTGTTTTCAGGTTCTTCTGATGTGATGGTCTTTGTGCATGAGACTGACTACACAGTTCTAATTTCCATATTACTTAGCTCAAAAGTTCTGTAGCATACTTTATAATAACCTTTGTATTTATCTGCAGTAACTGATGACAGCCATGAAATGGACTCAGCATGGTATGACATCCAGCGATTGCGTAAAAACCGTCTCAAAAGCCATCTTCAAAATGTAGTTCCCAATGCAGCCTTCAATAGAAGCACTGCTTGTCTAGAAAGTAGGACTTTTCTGGGCCTGGAACTTACTGGGTTCCAGAATGTGTAATTAGCAGATCAGCAGCAAGGAAGGAAGTGGAGCTTTAATGTTTGCAGACCATTTCTACAATCTAGTGGAAGTAGACAAACCCATCTGCAAGTTTTTTGTTTGAGAGGGAGAGCAAGAGCTTGTTCTCTGTAAATTTCAACAGGAGCAGACAAACCCCATTTGCAAACCTTACTTTGCATAGTGCACTGTTGAAGTTGTTCTCTGTGAAATCCAACAGTAGCAAAATTCATCTGCAAGGTTTTCATTCAACTCAGCTCTGGGCTCAGCAGAGGTAAAAGCATCATCTCATGTATATCATTCCATTCACAACCCCAATGTACTGTCTATTTGGTGTGCAGGGTTAGGGAACTGTCTACGAACACATGCTTAAAACTTTAAACCTTGTATGCAAGGTAAATATAGTACTTGTAGGAATGTTCTATTCCTGTGGATAATTTTCAGGTTACATGCAATTGTGTAACTATCTTGTGCTGCAACTAGTGGGTGCTCTTAATAAGGCCCAGACTGAGTCAGGTTGACTAAATCTATTTCTTTGGGTCCCAAGTAGTTTCCTACAGTCCTATTTTTGCCCTTTTTTGTTTCAGTGCTTTATAAAAGCGCACATTTTACAACTGAGTTTGTGCCAACTGTTAAGGGTACACAGACCACTGATACTTCAGAGCAGAGGCTTTCACTGGGCCCGTATATGTTTTTAACTGCCTTTCTAATAAATACATGTATTTTTGTATATGATTATTATACACTAGGTTTTTAATATTGGCCCTTTATCAGACTTCTTTAAGACACTCAAGCAGCCTACAGGAAACATGCTTAGATACAATGCTCAACAACTGGAAATTATTGTTTTGTTGAACATCACTGAAAACTGAATTGACACTTTTTGTCTGTTGACTATTTCTGACCTCTTCTTCATGTAAAGTGAACATCTGATGTTTGTTTCTAACAGAAATGCTGTTATTTCCTTTGTGCAGATGTAGAGAAGAGAGATCTCTATGGAAAAAAATAACATTTTAAAATAGTTTTTCCTTTTATTAACACAGTTCTGTATTACAAAGTCTGATGTCCAAACAATTTGCAAATTTATTGTTGAGAGTAGTATTATGACATGCTTGGACTTTACAGCTGGCCAGAAGAAATAAAGCTCTATTTGTTAACCTATCAAAATATTTCCGTCTTCAAATCAACTTAAACCGATTCGTTTCTTTAAATACAAAAAAATTGTAGGAAACCAGATTCTCCATAAAAGAATGCTGTGTCTTATAAGTTCATTTTATTCTGTTTTACTGTTAACAACCATCAGCCATGAACATTTTCAAAATCATATAATCAAATTACGGAATACGTGTGCTGCATCATTACATTACACTTGTATTCTGCCAGTTCACTACCTCAACTGCCACAAGTGTAGACTGTTCTCCTGCAACAGCATTTCAAAAGTATGTCTTAATCACATTTCCCCTGACATTTGACCCATTTCCCTGACCAGTTTCCATTTCCCTGACTTTCCCTAGTTTTCCAGAAAGTGGCAACCCAGTATTTAGACTTCAACACATATACACGCCAGTTCCAGGCACTGAGAGAGGCTAAGATTGATACAATGCAATTGCATGTTTTTTTATGAATTAACATCAACTCAGCACTCTTACATAGTATAAACAACTGCGAAAGAGTTGTATAAAATAATAACAAGAACAATATTCAGTTGATTGCATGCTATTTTGGGATATACAGGCCATGGGATTAGACAGATTCATGAAAGATAGGTCTATCTGTACCTACTAGCCATGGTGACTGATGGGAACCTCCACGTTGAGAGGCACTAAACCTCCGAATCCCAGAGCCAGGAGGCAACTTCAGGGGAAGATCACGGCCACTGTGCCCTGTTGTTGGCCCTTCAGAGGATCTGGTTGGCTTCTGTGTGAGACAGGCTGCTGGACTAGACAGACTACTGGTCTGATCCAGCAGGCCTCTTTGTCTGTTCTTATATTCTTAAAAAGATGCCCAAAACAGGTAACAACATAAAATCAAAAACATCATAAACTCACCACAAAAACTAATAATAGTAAAGCAGCATCACAATGCATCAAAACCATCCATCCATTTATTTATTGTATTTATACCCCGCCCTCCACGCAAGCGGGCTCAGGACGGTTTACAAGCGAGCACGAGCGCCCACGCATAAAAACAAGATAAAACAATAAAAACATTAATATCAACATAAATAAAGTGCTCAGTAGAACCAAGATGGTCTCCGAATAAATTACAAGATGATATCAGTCTTCCATTGGAGGTGGTATTGTCCTGTATTTGGTACATAGCCTGTCCTGTGGTACTAGCGCCACACAATATTATGGCAGATCTTCCAAGAGCTGTCCCCCTGGCCCTGTTGTTACCCACACTGATGGTGGTGGTAGTGGCGGCCCCTACGTGAAAGCCTGGCAGAAGAGCTCCGTCTTGCAGGCCCTGCGGAACTGCATAAGGTCCCACAGGGCCCTGATCTCCTCCGGGAGCTCATTCCACCAGGTAGGAGCTGCCACTGAAAAGGATCTGGCCCTGGTCGCAGCAAGCCTTACCTCCCTGGGGCCTGGGATCACCAGGTGATGTTGTGTCCCCAACCAAAGTGCCCTTGGGGGTACGCATGGGGAAAGGTGGTCCCTCAGGTGGGTCGGACCCTGGCCATTTAGGGCTTTAAAGGTAAGTACCAGCACTTTGAAACGGATCTGGTATGCTATTGGCAGCCAGTGCAGCGCTTTCAGCCCAGGCTGGATGTGCTCCCACTTGGGGAGACCCATCAACAGCCTGGCCGCCGCGTTCTGCACTAGCTGCAGCTTCCGGATCTGCAACAAAGGCAGCTCCATGTAGAGAGCGTTACATTAGTCTAACCTCAAGGTGACCGTCACGTGGATCACTGTAGCCAGGTCATCACGGTCGAGGAAGGGAGCCAACTGCCGAACCAGACTAAGATGGTAAAACGCTGATCTGGCAGTGGCTGCCACCTGGGCCTCCATAGTTAAGGAGGAATCCAGGAGCACTCCCAAACGCCTAACCTCCAACGCTGACACCAAAGGCATCCCAACCCCGTACCGACACAACTCAGGCACAGGACCTCCGTTTTTGCTGGAACTAGTTTCATCCGGCTCAGCCTGAGCCACCCAGCCACTGCCTATAATGCCCGGTTCAGATCTTCCGGGTTGGAGCCCGACCGGCTGCCCAACATCAGAAAGAGCTGGGTGTCATCTGCATATTGATAGCAACCCAGCCCATAACCCCTGGCAATTTGGGCAAGGGGGCGCATGTAGATGTTAAACAACATCGGGGAAAGCACTGCCCTGAGGCACCCCACACTCAAGTGGGTGCCTCCAGGTCTGCTGTTCCCCTATTACCACTCTCTGTCCCCGACCTTGGAGAAAAGAGGCAAGCCATTGAAGGGTGAGCCCCTTTATCCCCACGTTGGCGAGGCGACGGGTCAGCAGCAACTGGTGGTCGACCATGTCAAATGCGGCCGGCAGATCTAACAGCAACAGTGCCGCCACACTGCCTTGATCCAGATGCCTCCAGAGGTCATCAGTAAGGGCAACCAGCACCGTCTCCATCCCATGACCCGGGCGAAAGCCGGACTGGAATAGATCAAGGATAAACCCAAACTAATGTTTGAAGGCATTACAGAATAAAAATATTTTCAATAAGGCCTAGAAAGATGGTGCCATACTAAACCTCTAAGGAAGGGAACTGCATAATTTGGGGACTACAGCTAGAAAAACCCACGTGAGACCATACAACCGCAATTTAGATGATGCAGCTCCCACAGGAAGACCTTGTTCATGACGTACCAACTTGAAAATTCAAAAAGAAATATTAATTTAAAAATAAAATTAAAAGCAGAAAGTGCTTTCATGGCTACAAAACTGAGAGATAAAATGAAACACCAAGGAGTGCTGGTGCAGTACAGTGGCTAAGAACTATGAATCAGGTGGTAACCATCTAGAATTTCATTTCATTAGGAAAGCTCCTTTCTCAGTCTGAGCCCCTTCCCTTGCAATAGAGAAATACTGGCCTACCTTTTTAAAGGTGCTTCACATTCATAATCTTGTTGTAATCCTGTTCTAAAGATTACAACAAGATTATTAATGTGACGCAAGGTAGAAGACATGCATGGTGCCTGAACTCTCTGAACTATTTTGGTGTTAACAAATATCTCATCTATAGTTTTTAAAATAAATGTATTTTACATGTATCTGATGAAAAAAGATCCAACTCTTGAAAGTTTATACCCCCAAAATCTTGTTGGTCTCTAAAATGCTACTACGCTTATATCTAGCTGTTTTAATCTAAACCAAAACAGCTACCCTCTGAATTTACTTCTATGACGTTACTTGTCTAATATCAGACAGTAAATAATTATTATACATAGTAACTTTAGTTTGAAACTATTTCCCCCTCTTGCCACACATTCTATGTTAGTATATAGCAGGGGTGTCAAACTCATTTGTTATGAGGGCCGGATTTGACATAAATGAGACCTTGTTGGGCCGGGCCATGTGTGTCATAAAATGTAATACCAGGTAGCGGAGATATAAACTTTATAAAGGACACAAACACAAAGGGTTTTTTTTAACTTAAAATAAAAACATGCTTAAAACATTAGCACTCACTGCAATATTTTGTTCATTTAACAGTGTCTGATAACTGACACCTCCTGCTCTGAACTACTGCATAAAGATGTCTGTGCTGTTACAATCTTGAGTATGCTGTTCAGGTGTGTATCTGTAAGCTGAAAACCTACAATGACACAGCAGCAGCAGAACTGGAAGAAGAAGCAGAAGACAGCCAGTTCCACTGTGGGCCTGATAGAAGCCCTCCGGGGGCCTGATCCGGCCCCCGGGCCGCATGTTTGACACCAATGGCATATAGTCTTAGTGTGCAAGCAAGAAATTACTGAAGGCTGTTCTTAATGCAAAATAGAGTATAATGATTACTAATTAGAGAGCTTTTCTGTTGTTTGGGGGAGTCTTCCAATGTAAGATCTTCTAAAGAAAAAAGGAAGCATTTACAGACATAACGTGAAACAGCTATTCCTCAGTCCCTATTTTCTCTCAACCCCACCTACTCTACCAGATGACTGTTGTGGGGAGAGGAAAGGAAGGCGATTGTAAGCCGCTTTGAGACACCTTATGGTAAAGAAAAGCAGGGTATAAAAACCAACTCTTCTAAACAAATTCCATGACTATTAGCGTAAAACAAACTAAGCCATGTTTATCATCTGCATCAATATTTCAAAGTGGCACTGTTTAATTCTAAAAAAAATCAGCCATGCAATATAGTCTCTGCATCCTTAGATTAGTGAGTATTATAACCACAGTTCCCTCTAAACTGCGTTAGGGGGCACTGGTGCAGAACATTTCAGAGGGCTGCTCAGAGAATTTTAGTTTCAACTCACAACATTCTTTCCCATTCCATAGGAAACAATGGATGGGGGCACCTCCTTCTGGGGCCCACAGAACTGAACCCCTGGTCCAATCTTTTTGAAACTTGGGGGCGGAGGGTTGAGGAGAGGCACCAGCAGCTATGAAGTGAATTTGGTGTCTCCACCTCAAAAAAACAGCTCCCCTCCCCCGAGCCCCAGATCTATTCTTCATTATAGTCTATGGGGCTCATTGACTATAATAGTCCCCATAGGCTATAACTGAGCCAAAATCACTGATTTTTTTCACCCCTATTATGTTTTTCAGTATGATTTCTAAGCTGTCTTGAGTGACACAGAAAAACGGGATATAAATATTTGAATAAATAAGTATTTTGGGCAGGTTGATAACATTTAAGCAACTTCCTGTTTGTTAGGTTAGGCAGGGTTCTGACAGTGATTGTTCCACCTCTGGTATTCTTGATGTGTAATGCTGGTTGTCATGTTTTACTAAAAAAAACCAAAGTAGACCACAAGAGCCTCCCCCCCCCCCAAGTGCTGGTATGTTTTCTAAGGGTCAGCGCAAGGCGACGGTCCAAGTCTACCGATACAGTGGACTGGAACAGCTAGACCTGTTCTCTGGAGGCCGGGTCCACCAATATAATAGAAAGGGGCAAGGAGACCTGTTCTCCAGAGGCCTGGTTTACCCCTGTAGAGGACAACATTTTGTGTAATGAAATTTGACAATTCTGTTTTCTTGTATAATGTTTAAATTATTCTTAAAATATACTTTAAATATAGTTTAAAAGAATTCATTCTGAGATTTTTTACAAGATTACTGAAATAATCTTCTAGTCAAATCTTATAGTCAAATATAGACTCACTCACAACTTTACCGCTACTAGCTTTTTTCGCTCATGAGGTAGAATTTTTTGCTCACAACACTGTGGAGCTTAGAGAGAACACTGCTTATAACTGGGTTGAAAAAAGCTGAAACCAAATGATAGCAATTAAATAATAGCAATTATAACATAAGCACATCCTGATGGCACTTGCATGCATGAAAGAGAAATATATAATCTGTGTAGGACTTTAAGAGTGCAGTTACCCTGAAGGCAGATTTTCCTAGGACAGAACTCTTAATGTGACCAATTATATACAAGCTTCAGAGAATTTCTAACCCTTATGGTTGTGTATAAAAACAGTAACAATCCAGAGAGTCAGGAACAACATTAGTCCTCCCCAAATCAAATTCAGAGATCAAAATAAAAATATTTAGATATGTATAATGGTACCTTCAGGTACCTGGGAAATAGAGAACAGGACTAGCTCTCCCAGTGTAGGGCTACAAGTGACTACAAGTGACAAATTGAACAAATGTTGTACCAAGAATTAATCACCTCTAAGCTGCTCACTTTTCCTGGAGTATTATGTGGCCAGGAGCAGTCAGAGACCTGAGCATCTTTCAAACCAGTGTAAAGCACAGATTTTGCATTATAACTTATTTCTTTGGGAAATCAGTGGTTTTTTACACATCAGTTAGCTTATATTCTTCTCCCCCCCCCCCTTAAAAAATTGGGCTTGGCTTGAGCTACAAATAGTGAAACAGTATACTGTAAGATTCCAGTTGAAACCTGTTCAGTCTCGTTTTCACTTTCACTGCTACCTAACAATTTGCTGTATTGTACACGAGATAAATAAATTTCAATGGCATCTAAGATGTACAGTGTCAAAAAGAAGGATCAGTACAGAACGTAAGTCTACTCAGCCAACTTCTGTAGCACAAGAAAGTATGAAAACACTTTAGGCAACTACACAATACTGGACATGCTCGGAACAAATGTTTTATGCTTCACCTCCTTGTGAGAACATTTCTCTGAAATTCCTTGTAACATGCTCACTATACTCTCCCAGTTGTATAACCCCTGAAAATTCTCCTTGGTTTTCCTTCTGGCCCCCATTTTCACATCTCTTTACATAATTAATTAAAATTACAGATTATTATAATCTGTATACTGCTAACAAACAAAACAAGGTAATACAAACTGCTACTGATAAAACATGTTCAAAATGGCTAACAAACACAGTGCAATTTCAGGCTGCACCTTCTATTCAGACTGCACCTGATTCAACTTTGTTCCAAAGTATGGCACTATGAATGCATCCCCTACTGGGTTTCCACTCCATCATCTTGGATCTTTTGTTTTTCTGTTCCTCCAACTCTGTTCTCTCTCATGGTGTAGTTTGACTGTTGGCTGCACCAAGTCAGCTATGTGGAACAATGAACTCAACTGAAGCTCCGTATTGCCTGCTTTGACTGATGACAGTTCTCCAGAATCACTGCTACAGAGGGATTTTCACAGCACCTGCTACCCAAATTTCGTTAGCTAGAGAGACCAGCCATTGGACCTAGGCTCTTCTGTATGCAAAAAAATGTATGCTTTATTACTAAGCTGTGGGTCCTTGAGGTGTCCTTTTGATTACCAAACATGAGCCATCCACCATTCATGCCTGCAACCTTTCCACTGTATAAAAAACAAACAAAAACCCCTCCATGATCAAGTCCTCCTTTTATAGATTCAGAGTCTTCTAGCTACAGTCTACTGGTCACAACTTGTTGCAGTGTGTGCACTTAGCCATGGTTACTCCAACTTCCATAGCCTGATGGTCATTCTCTTTCTACATATGCCAGTCTCATGGTTTATAAGTCTATCCTTGACATAACATACCAGCACAGCAGCTCCAATATGAAGCCTCTAAGGTCCCAGCCACACCCTCCATCACCAAATAACACCGTGCATTAAAAAAAGAAAAAAACTTTTGACGTTTGGCTTCACTCCCAAACTGCCATCCTGATACTTGCGACCACCACCCACCTATGTCGTTCTTGCAGACTCTCTGTCCCAGTCCGACCCCTACTCTAACCCCCCCCTTCCTACTCAAGCCCACCTGCCCCTACTCACCACCAGTGTTCCCTCTAAGCTGAGTTAGTGTGAGCTAGCTCACAGTTTTTTAGCCTCCGGCTCACACATTTCTGTCTTTGCTCAGGAAGGCAGGCTCCAGAGCAAACTAATTTACGCAGTAACCAAATCGCTCGCTCACCACTTTAATGCCAGTCGCTCACAAAGTAGAATTTTTGCTCACAAGACTCCACAGCTTAGAGGGAACATTGCTCACCACTTGTTGCACAAAGTTACCCACCTCTTCAGAACCTACCCTACTCCGCGTCCCCCCTAACCACAGTCCCAGCGGGCAAACCGCCAGGGAGACCCTCCCGAAAGCGCACCACACGTGGGGGGAGGGCAACAGAGCGGCGACGAGGCGGGGGTTGTGCGTTCGAGCCCAGAGGGGACGGCAGAAACACCGATCAGCCTGACACAAGCGGACGGTCCCGTGCCTGTCCCCTCCACACCCAAGTGCTCCTCACAGCCCGCCCTCTACGCCTTCCGCATCCGACTTCCGCGGCCTCGAGCTCTGCAGCGACTTCCCGGTCCTTCCCGCTCCCTCCCCTGCAGCAGCCAGGCCTTCCCGAGCGTGCACCCCGGCCGGCCTCGTCGGAGTTTCTCCCGCTCCAGCCGCCTCTTTCCTCCCCTCGCGTTTCCCATTTTTTTTGACGAGCCGCTTGACGTAGGTCTTCTCGCGGTAGAGGCACTTGTCGATCTCCTTGGACTTTCGCTGCTGCTCGGCCTCGCTGCTGTTGAGCAGGCAGCCGGGAAAGCAGCCCGACAGCGGGGACCGCGACGGCAGGAAATCCGCCATCTTAGCGAGCACTGCCAGCCAGGGAGCGGCCGCCGCGGCCCCGCGCTGCTCTGCGACTGCGCGCCCACCAGCGGGGCGGGCTGGCCAGCCAAGCCCCGCCCCTTCCAGGAGACCACGTGACGCGGGACGCGGCTCGAAAGGAATAACGTGACGGACGACCAACCAAGCGTGTCCTAAGGCGCCCCCGTCCCGTCCCGCATCTCCGGGGATCTTGACAGAGGCAGCGCGACGTAGATCCGGGCGGCAGCGATGGCGCAGGCCACGCCCTTCTCTGATTTGGCGCCTCAAACAGCCGCTTGGCTCACTCGGACGGCGACCCGGCCCAGTATCCAAGGGACGCGTTACCGTCACGAAGCTCCTTGACTTCCTTTCCATGACCATAAGAGCATGAGTGTTCGCGGAGTGCTCTTCAGTCTCTTCCGACCCCATCTTGACTCCGCGACTCTGATGAGCAGCTGATTTATACAAACCACCCTGTAGTACAGTTACTTGAGTGTTTTCTCCCTCATCGGGACCAGGAAATCTTCATAGGGTTGGTTACCAAGGATTGGTTACAAGGTCTACTGTGAACGTTCATCCGTTCACACAAAACTGAACTAGAATGCTCAGAGCGTATGTAGAGTGCATTCACCTCCTTCATAACACATAGACTTGGCATTCATAATCTTGTGCCTTGGGGAGAGGTCGGAGTTCACTGGTAGTGCTCACCTCTGACTCTGGGAAGCTGAGTGACCTGACAGATGCCTCCCCTTTTGAACACGAACATATCCAGGGCCATCTTCAGAGACTTGAAGGGAATGATAGTCCAAAAGGCCAGTGAGATTTTTCATGGCCCGTCACCGATTCACCGTAGAGGAGGGGGAGAGGAGGTCTGCTCTGAAGCCCATGACTGCCCTCAAGGGTGCAGCAGAGACTGCATTTCAGGATTGTTATTGAACCAGCTGAAGGTGCAGAGGTATGTCCATGGACCCATGGTTGTACCCAGCGTAGGCGCTGGGTTCAAGATGCTAGCTGGTGTCCTAGGAACACCAAGTTTACCTTACAGGGCAAGTAACGGACCCAGGATCACAGATCTGGGAATTGTTCCTGGAGGGACAGGCTGCTGTGCTGGAGAAACTGTGGCTTCTGTGGGGTCCTGACTGTTTATACACCTGTTAATATTACATATTACATATGCATGGCTGGATGATTTGCAGCACTGCCAAGAACAGAGGAAACATCCCTGCATGGGAGCTTGTCTAGCTGCAGACCCTGGTAGCTAATATAGCTCCTATAGCAGGCGCTTTAGAGTGCAGCAGTGACTGAGGGCCATGACGGGGCATCCCAGTGAAGAGCTCTACCTGCTGTGCCTTTTTTGTGTAAGGAGGTTTCCCAGCCACTGTTGAGGGATCAACCAACCTTTCCCCCCCCCTACTCCATTCTTTGTTTCCCCCCCCCTAGCTGTGTCCTGGGGCTTACCATCCGGCTGTTTATCTGAGGTAGAATGGATGGGGTATATGGCAGAGGTGGGTGGACTCTTGAGAAGCACCACTTTTGGAGGATGCTGCCCTCTGATGAAAGGGAGATGTGTTATTTCCAAACACTGAGTCACAGGTGAATGCTGGCAGCATTGTAGTAGACCCCTGACTCATGCTGACCATATTTGAAGACCTGTACCCTTTCTGTTTCATTGTTTCACTGATTAAACCACAGTGTGTCCATGGCAAACACGACTGCTGCATAAAGTGTCAGATGGAGCTAAGGTTGGTTACACTTTTATTTAGCAAAACTGAGGTGTTCTTAGCCCAGCTTCCAAAAATGGGATCCCTTCTTACTGGATACATGCCTGAGCATCTTTTAGCAAGATACAGAGTGCACTGTTTTTAAGCATGTTTTAAATATAGGTTTTACTTCTTTCAGTTGGCTGTTTTTTATTTTTACCTGCCCCAAGTCTATAAAATGAATAAGGTGCGACTTCAAATAAACTCAACATCGCCAGATATATGTAGTGACTGTGAGTGGGAAGAAAGGAAGGAGATTCCTTTTAAGTCTGTTTGTTTGCCAATTGCATTATATATGAGGATTACCCTTCTAACAATTTCTAATCCTTGGAAGGTTCTGAATGTTGAGGGATTTGCTTGAGATACATACTCTTCTCTTTTCTGATCTCAGTACATGAGTGGGGCTCCCTCTAATGCTAGTAGCTGGAAAGGCTCTAGGCACTATGCAAATAAGATCCCCGTTCTCCTTCCTGATTGGTTACGGCAAAGCAGCGTCTGATTCCCTCACTGCCTTTATTTTCCAGACTGGGGAGTTCCACTAATGCAGTTTGCTTGAAACCAGTAACAACAGCAGCAGCAGCAGCAACAACCACCACCTCCACCTTCTCTGCCATTGGTTAAGCCTAATTTTTTTTTTTTTTTAAATCTTCCTTCGTAGCCTTTGTCTTGAGTAAATAGAGCACAATGACCATCAGACCCATAGATAAAGGCCAGCGTTACAGGCCATTCCTGAAAAAGGTAACTCGCTATTGTTTTTAAAATTTACCTGGTAAGCAGCTCAACAGGAGCACCTATTGGAGGAACCCTGAATGCATCTGTAAAGTATCTATCATTTGACAAGAATGACATGTCGTAGATATTTTGTATGCAGGTGACAGAGATGTTATCACTATAGGTGTACCTTTTTCAGTTTTTAGAATGAATAATTTTCTAAGAATGTTGTGATTCCATTAGTTTAGTGCTGAAATATGATTGTTTTTCTCTCTGTGCTCTTTTGCTCTAAAGCAATTAGAGACAAAAACCCTTGATTTCTAGAATCTCCAAAGGAAAGCAACCTGTTACATAGCCTTGTTCACATGGCAGTGGTAGAAATTGCTTGAAATGCAATTGAGCCAGGGTGGAGGTTACAAGCATAATGAATATATTGTATTAATTCAAATTTTACTCCTTACTATTTTGTTTCTATTTCTGTTTGGAAGTTTTCTATTTGCATTTTTGTTAGGGGTGCTCTTAGAGTGGAGTAATTCTGCATAGGGTTGTACTGTTCATTCTGGTTCAGTTCTGGTTAATTTCTCTCCCCCTTCCCAGAGCACCTCAGCAATAAATTGTTGTTGTGGATCCTGACCAAAGACATGCAAGATCTGATGCTTGCACACAAAGGTTGTTAATCTAGAATGATTACCACCCCAGTACTTACTACCTTTCACATGGATTAGAACCCTTATTTGACCCAGTTGCATGCGTAGGAAGGATGAGGAAAATCCACTCCTTATCTTCTTTCAAGGAGTAACTAATCCATATTAAATGTTCTTAAGTATTTGTTTCTTTAAGTATGCACCCTTAAGGACTTGCCTGTGATGTCTTTTTCAAAGTATGGCACGAGCTCTGATACCTGCCTGTTTATAACCCAGTTTGGATATATGTGCTTATACAATTTTTTAAGTCTGTCAGGGGGAGGGAAAACAGCATGGTATAGCCCGATCTCGCTAGGTCTCTGAAGCTAAGCAGGTTTGGTACTTAAAAGGGAGGCCATCAAGGAAGACTCTGCAGAGGAAGGCAATGGCAAACCACCTCTGCTTCTCACTTGCCTTAAAAGCCCCTTGCTGGGGTTGCCATAAGTCATATACAATTTGACGGCACATTACACACACACACACACACGTCTATCAGGTGTTATGAAGACAGCTGTATTTAGAAATAGGTCTTCCTTTGTCCCTGCAAGTGTCCATATAAAGAGAATTTTAATAGTGCCCAGCATGTGAAAAGAGTTTTAATATGGAAGGTAAGCCAGCTATTCTCCCATGAGTGTTCTGCTTTTTTGTGTGTGTGTGTGGTTTATCCTGGTAATCAGAATTAGCTGAATTGCCAGTGATACACCCAGCTGCCCATTTCAGGTCTGTGTGCTGCATTTAAACTCTGCACATTTGGGAACAGCACAGCATATGTGCACATTTGCATCTCAGCTTAAGCATCAACACAGGAGGAGGTGGCAGGATTACAAGTGAGAAAAGGAGAGATGAGAGGGAGTGTGAATTTATTCTGTGTCACAATATTTGTCATCCATTTTCAGTGTTTGTACTTTTAATACTCAAAGAAGGTTTCCAAAATATTTTCCTTTGCAGCTGTTTTACCTAAAGCATATGATTTATTATTAAAAAAATAAAGAAGAATTGTTTATATTCCCTTTTGGTTTATACTCTTGCAAATTCTACAGAGGAGAAGGATCACATTAGAAGATTAGTTAATGTGCTACATGTCACTTGCATTACAGGAATATGTTTTCATTCAGACAAAAAAGCCTCTGGTTTTTGCCACAGTAATAGATTAGCCTTGTCTATTTTTTTTATAAAGCACAACATGAGAATGTGTCAAGTGTATCTCATTTATTAAAATTCCCCAGAGATTGTGGGGAGCTATGCTTTCTTTTTTGTGTGAGTCTCCCCTCCCCAGTAATATGTAAAAGAGGTTGCTGGGTCTCCCTTTTCAGCTCCTGTAACATCACTGCTACATCTAAGCTTGTAGCCCTCCATTACCTTTGTGTGAAAGGTTTTGAAATTGCACCTAAAAAGGTGAGCCTACTGTGAAATAATTCTCTGTACTGTAATGGCAAATTGCTGTACTAGTGGGCCATATTGCTACCATCCAATACAGGGTTACCAACAGAGGAAGTGACAGGATTGTAAGATCAAAATTAAATTATAAAGGATGCTGCAAAGCTTAGACTTCTGTTTTGCTTGGGATTTGCATCTTCTAAAAGCTGACTTAGCATTTTCTCATCTGTAAGATTGTTATTTGGAAAATAGTTAGAAAGAGGCTGCACTGGGAAACAAGTAGTGGGCCCTTCAAAATAATATGGGGTAAGGAATCAAGAGTTCCCAGTTCACAGCCTTTTTTGAAAGGGTATTTGCCTAACTCTGCCATAAAGAACTTCCAATGGGAAAGGCATTCAGGCGGGCCAGAGTAAAGGCATGACGTTGGAATGGGGAATCTAAGATGGTGAAGTAATGAGGTTTCACTCCATGTTTTTGGTAAATACCTAGACTGGCTGCTGAACAAGTGGGAGGATGCAGGGGGAACATTTTTTGAAATTCATGATCCATAAGTCTTTGTTGAACCATTCTTTTTGTATGTAATTCATCATATAGAAGAAGAGAATATATCGTAATGCCTAATTTCTGGAGCTTATTGATAAAAGTGGAAAACCAAATGGTAGTATACCAATCTTCAATTAAGAAAGATAATAGACTTCCAGGATCTAGTCTAAAGTGGACTGGCCATAGTCCAAGCCCTAGTTTCTAAAAAGTGTAGACCTAACTCTGCACATATAGATAGATAGGGGACACATTTGGGAACTCCCAAAATTTGTCAGAAAAAGGATGCTTGAACACCCTCCATATTGGGATTAAAAGCACTAATCCACAAAGGGATGCCATATAACAACTGAGGGAGAATTTTTGCATTGTAAATTTTAATGGCTGCCGGAACAAATTGGTTACCTCTTAGATAATAGAACTATTTGATTTGTGCCGAAGAACATTTTACTAATCTTACGGTTCTGTTTTGATGTTCTGAGCATCTGAGATTGTAATTAAAGGTAACCCCGAGATATTTAAGGGTCTTCACTTGTTCAGTTGCAGTAGAGCCAATACGCCATTTGTACAGGCACCATTTCTTTGAGAATATTAAGAAGAAGAGAAGAAGAGATTGGATTTATACACCGCCCTTCACTACCCAAAGGAGTCTCAGAGCAGCTTACAAACTCCTTTCCTTTCCCCTCCCCACAACAGACATTCTTTGAGGTAGGTGGGGTTGAGAGAGCTCTGACAGAAACAGATTAGAGTCTGCACACTTAACCACTACACCAAACTGGCTCAAATTGCACCCAAACCCTCATTATTATTTATTCACATTAATGTTGTGAGCCTCCTTTTGTCCTGCCCTCTGCTGCCTTGGTTGGGGGTCAGGCATACTTCCCCACAGGCCTCAGCATGGGAAGTAGGGGGGGTTCCACCACACAAATCCTCTTACTTTCCAGGACTGGCTCCCTTTTGGCTCTCTCTAGTGCCAGTGTAGCACAGTCCTTAATTCTTCCCCAGCCCAGTCAAGAGATGTACTTTTTATTTACCCCGGTCCCACCCTTCCACTCCTGTCCTGCTACCACACCTTCCCAAAGTGATTAAAGCAGGAGGATCAAACCCTGCCTCCACCTGGTACTTCTATCCCCCTCCTGCTTCCTTACGGTCCTGCCTTGGGGCCTGATTTAGGACTCCTTCTCACCTCCCTCTTTGGCTTACCTGAGCTCATCCCCCCCCCCCCAAATTACAGAGTTGAATAGACAAGACATGGTCAAGTCTGTGCCCTTAAGACTAATAGCTGGATTACAGATGCAGTACAGGGGATTAACCTTTCTATCCTGTCAGTCTAAACTTACATCCATGCCATACTATTATTAGCCCTTATGAGAAAAAAAGGTAGGCACACTTACTTTGCCTAGAAGAACCAGAAGGTTTTATTCATGGTCTATGACCAGAACATAAATCACAAACAATAAGATGCCTCACTGGGGCATTACAACAATAATAAAATCATTCACAATACAATTTGAGCAATGCCTCATGATAAAAACATTCCAAATACAGTAGAATACTACAATGTCTACTAAAAAGTTTGAAATCTCAACAATCCACTACATGAACTATTACAGTTTTTCTCTGCCTTGCAGCAAGCCAGCAAATCTAACCACCTGGTAATTGACGTTATAGTGCCTATCTGAAAGAAAGCTCAGAAGGCACGATCTCTGTCTACTGTTTAAAGGTAATGACATAAGCAGAGGAAGGGATTCACGGAAATTGTTATACACCTTAGTGTCGAACAGGATGTGGTCTAGAGATTTTAGGCCTTCATTACAGCAGGGGCAAATCCTTTCTTCATAGGGAATCTTTTTATACTTTCCTACAAGGACAGGAGGGAACTGTGTCACAGCACATTAGCGTGAACACTCTCCTATACTCTTGATTTAATAAGTGGGAAAGGTAAGGCATAGGGGTTGTCTCCAGACAAAGTCTCCCTCTCCCTATTCTATTCAAATCGTATTGCCTTGCAGTACCATTAATCCTCTGTTTGACCAAAGCCTTGGCTCTATGCTCTAAGTTGAGCATAGAAATTGCTTGGAAAACCCAGTGCCCTTATCCATGGAGTGCCTTATCCATGGAGGAGCAGAGGAATCTAGCAATATTAACCTTGACAATCCCCTTGGGAAAAATGCTAATTTTAACCAATACAGAGTCACTGCTAACCATAGCCTCGCCTCCACCATTATCATACCCAATTCCAGATGCCTGTGGGCATTAGGGACACCGTTAGGCACTTGTAAAATTGTTCTCAAAAATTTAGATTGAACCATGTCCAATTTCCCATGTTTGAAGTAATATTAATTGGGGCTCCATAGGTAAGCTGCGGTGGCTCAAGTGGTTAAGACGCTGAACTGCAGGCTGTGGAAGGTCGGTAGTTCAGCAGTT